TCCAGGGTAGTTTTCTCAAGCTCTTAAGCCTTTTCCTTAGGGAAATTTTGCTTCTTATCTGCTGTTAAAGTAATTTTAACAAAAGTAAATTTTTTCAATTTTTTTTTTTAAATGAGCAACTATCTTAACATTAACGGTGTAATATATAAGTCTAAACGTCAAAAATTAATGTTTGAAATTTGTAATTTCTTAATAATTTGTTTGCTCGTTCTTAGAGAAAAAGAGTGCTTTTATTTAGTACGATTAATCAGACGTTTTGCACTGAGTAATTTTTCTTCTTATTTGCTGCTAAAACAATGGCGTCCGACTCTGCCAATGATTGTGACAGAACTAAATAAAAACTTAATAAATAAGAGCCTGAAAATATGAGTTAAAACAAGCATTGCGATAGCGAATGGTAAATAAAGAACTTTTTATTAAGTGAATGACACTTGATGTTAATACAGTTTTTTCCAATACTTATTCATTAATTAAATATTATTAATTAATTTTAGTTTTATATAGGAGAAAAATTTGTAATTATTTAATAAGAAGTAACTAAAATAAAAAATTTCGTTGTTGACCTAAGTACGAATTAAGTTTAATTTTTTTTAAAATTTTACTTGTTTTTAAAATTAGATAACAAGATAGCTATTATGATTCTATCTTTTTTAACTTGTTACTTCAAAGTAAATCATATCAATTGAGTAAGTCTAACTAAAAACTATTATCTCCTTTCAAAATACTGCTAGACCTTGATCTCTTTACGTCTAATTCGCGTGATTCCTGACGTTGCATTAATGAAAATGTTATTAAGTTGTATCCCGTGAGATAATAACGAGAGGGAAATTTACCTTTTTTTAAAATTCATTAATAGGGAAGGAACGTGAATGACAGGAGGTTGTTTTCATTTGGCATTAGTTTCCATTAGTTTTTATTTGTTTACATTTTACTAGCGTATTTGAAATAATGGGTGAAGAGTTTGAAGAGAATGTCTTTACTTGGAGGATTAAAAACTATTCTTCCTGTTACCTAGTTAAATTTGAAGCAATTGAGAGCCCATTTTTTACGATGGAAAATATTCCTGGTAGTCAGTGGAATTTGTCGCTTTTTCCTAAAGGTTGTTCCAGCTTGAAAATCGATGAAAACTACGCTTCCTGTTTTTTAGAGTGGACAGCGCTATATGACGCAATTAAATCAGTCACAGTTTCTTACAAGATTGAGATTGTGGATGAAAAAGATTGTGTTTTAAAGAGTATTGTGTCGGAAGAGCAAGAATTTAATCGTCAGAATTCATACTGGGGCGCGAATAAATTCTTTGATATCAATGAATTGAACGAAGAAATGAGCAATTGGGTCAAAGATGAATTAACACTTCGGTGTCGAATGAAGAGTGATAATCAACTCAGGCAAAAGCTATCTGGGTCTGTTGCTTGTACTACCATCGAAGTAGACCGATTCTTTGTTGACTGGAATGTTAAAATACCTTCTTTGTGTGAGTACTCTGAAAAGATTGTTTTCCCGATTTCAGATTTGTACAATGTAGAAATTACTTTGAATTCCAAGTCAGAAGTTTTGGATGTTTTGGTTCACTTCAAACAAAAGAAATCCGACATGTATCAATGTTTGACATTTACAATTTCTATTTTTCATAAAATTGGATGCATGCTAGCTTCCAAGCGTGTTGTGCATGTGCATGAAAAAACTGAACCATGGAATTTTCTTGATTTCATAACGAAGGGCGTGTTGAAAAACTGTGAAATCAGTTCATCTCGATATGAATTTACGCTGAAATGTGAAGTTTGCGTTTCCAAGAATACTTTTTCTTCTAGTTTTATTGAAAAACTACATTTCGAGTCTCCTTTCAGCTGGGAGTCTTTACCGAGGGATAATCCACCCTCTTCTGCGCAAAATGAATTTCGAAACATTTTTGCAAGCAAAACTTATTCTGACGTTACAATTCGATGCAGCAATGATGAAATTCCTGCTCATAAGTTTATTTTGAAAGTTCGATCACCAGTATTTGCTGCAATGTTCGATCAAGACATGCTGGAAAACAAAATAGGTGTCGTGGATATGGCTGACATAGATGGAAAAATAGTGAAAGCCTTTCTCGAATTTTCTTACACAGAAACTGTGGATAAAATGGATTACGATATTGCTAAGCATCTAATATTAACTGCCGATAAATATCAAGTGCCGTCGCTTGTGGATAAGTGTGCTTCATTTTTGATACCCATTATATCAATTGAAAATGTGTGTGAAATTGTTGCAATCGCTGATATGATTGATTGCGAGAATTTGAAATCTTTAGCTCTAAGCTTTATTGAGCTAAATGCTGCAGATATTTTAAAAACTGCAGCTTGGACAGAATTGATAGAGGAAAATATTAAACTAGCCTCATGTATTTTGTCGAAGTTGTCTACTAACTTCCAACAAATCAGCAATGAAACTTATCTCTAATGGCTTTACGACTTATCTCTAATGGCTTTATGAAGGTTTTCCTTAATTTTTATTTTACTATAATTATTATACTTTAAATATTGACTTCAAATTTTGAACGATATATTAAATCTATTTTGGCTTAATCTTAAGAGAATATTTATGTTGTGAAATATTTTGTGTTTATTGAACATGCACTTGTACTTGAACTTTTATTATAAAGTATTTTGTTACATTTTGTAACAATTGATAAATATTTTTTTCTTTATTGGGATATATTTATTCTTTATCTATCAATACAAAGCATTTTCCTCATTTTTGCATTTTTCGTCTATTTTCCAAAATTAAGTGTTTAAGAAAATCGAAAGAAAATTTACACTTTTTTAGAACTTTGAAATATAAAAAATAATTGTAAAAAAAAATTGTTAAAATTACTTATTATCGTTTATTATTTAATTATATAATGGTCGTTTTATGAATTATAAGATAGAAGCATTTTTGTATCATTTTAAACTATGAAAATTTAAATTAGAAAGTCTGAAATTTGAAAGGAATGTTTCTTAAGTATAAGTAAAAGTACGGATAAGTAAACGTGTACGTATAAGTAAAAGTACGTATAAGTAAAGGTTGTAAAAAATTCTATAAGATAAGACATAAGTATGTATCGAGATACTGGAATTTTAATTTATTTACTTTTGCATTTTTCTTCCATCTTTCATCGACTTCTCTCAGCAACATAACCGGGAAGACATTTGCACCCAGCATACTTGTCGAACGTAAGGTCACAGGAATAGGACATTGGACCACAATCACACTCTACATATTTAAAATTGTTTAGATTATTATAATTGTTATTGTTTAATTTTTAGACATCAGAATAAATTATAACTCCCAATTTTTCATATGAATTAGAAAGAATTTTCACTTTTGAAAATTATTAGGTTTTCATGTCTGGATAAGAAATTTAAATTATCGTCTTCGCAATGAAATAAGCACATCTCTAATGTACTAATATGTAAGTAAATAATAATTTGATAGTATGTGTTTAGTAATATAATAATAGCAATAATAAGTATTAATAATATAATTTAAGTAATAATATGTAGCAATAATTAAATAATATGTGAAGTATTAATTAAAAATTATCATTCTAAACACCTAATAAATAATTAAAAATTATATCACGATATACCATGCATAAATCACGATATACACATACGATGTATATACACATATACATAGGCACATATCCGGAATTGCAAGTGCACACCTTTGAATAATTTTTGGTCACGGATTTACCCGAATTGGATTTGCACATGGTAAATATATAAATTTATTTAACAAAGAAGTTTTCAGGAAATTTTTTAATAATAATAACAAACATTTAACCTAATAATTTTATATAGAACTGAATTACATTAGTTGAGTATCCATTGTTTTTTTAAGTTTTGAAAGAGTTTGTCGATTTGTTCTTTTGGATAAATGAACATTACTACATATTCTTTTAATTCTATTCATTTGATTAAAAATGGTATTTAAATAAATGTTTTTAGAAACATTAGAATTCCAAACAATTAGTTTATTTATATTAAAATTATATAATTACTTTTATCGTATAAATCAGCAATGCAGATATTTACTTTTTTTTAATACCTTAATCCAAAAAATTAAAATTATCATCATGATTACGAAGCAAGATTAATTCCTAGAGTTCAAGATTTAACAAAATTATATTATCTTGAAATTTAAATCATCAATAAATCTAAAAACAACTTATGATAGTATTTTTAAATAATATTGTAAAAATAAGTTAGCTAAGAGAGATGAAAAATTAGATCCTATTATTGGTATTCCATCGATTTGAGAAAAAAAACATGTTTTCCAGTGAAAAGATAATTATTAAAAAGTCAAATATGAGTTTGAATTTCCCAACAATCAAAATTGCAATAAAGGATATTTTTAAAATCATAGTAATAACTCAAAAAAAACATATTTTAGTATAGAAAGAGGGAATGCTATTAAAGAAATCCAGCAATTTTATTTATTTATTTTAATAAATTTTGAAATCGGTTGAATGAAAAATTAGATCTTTGTGGTATTCCAATAAATTTGAAAAAAAAAACATGTTTTCCAGTGCAAAGATAAGTTTTAAAAAGTTAAATATTAATTTGAATTTTCCAACAATCCAAAATCGCAATAAAGGATATTTTTAAAATCATAGTAATAACTCAAAAGAACATATTTTAGTGTAGAAAGGGGGAATGCTATTGAAGAGATCCAGCAATTTTTTTTAATTATTTTTATTTTTATTTTTTTAATATAAATTCTAAAATCGGTTGATGCAAATGCTTAACGCAAAGAGATAAGGCAAGAACAATTTATAGGAGATAAAATGTGATAAAATGCAGATAAGTTCTTTTGTCAAGATCTGTGATGGGGAGTTCCCTTCTGATATTTTTGCAATCCGGATAAAGTTGAGAGAAGGCAGATTGGAAAACAGTGCCGAATTCACGAGTTTCTGGTGCTTTAGTATATTTTTCATTGCCTCTATATTTTTTTTAATTCTATTAAATAAAATCATGTCGAATGAAGACGGCAAAAAGTTTTCGTTTATTTGGAGCATCGAAAATTTTTCTCATTCTTTTCTTGAGAATGGACAGAAATTAATCAGTCCTGGATTTGTAGCTGAAAGTGCAGGAGGAAGCAAATGGTGCGTCGAAATATATCCGAAGGGATTCAATCAAGAGAATGGTGAATTTATTTCGTGTTTCCTTAAAAGAAATGGTGACGATTTGTTTCACGAATTTTCTGAAGAAATCGCTGTTGATTTCACATTCAATGTTATTGGTGGACATGGCGAGATTTTAGGATCTTTTGAAGAAAAAAATAAGATCTTTAAAAAAGGAGATAGTTTTGGTTGCTTAAAGCTTGTCAAAATCGAAGATTTAGAAGAAAAGATTAAAAGCTGGCATGAAGATATTTTGACAATCCGTTGTTCGCTGATTTCCTATAAGACTATTGCAACTGAATATGCAGCTAGGTCAACCATTCCAAATTATTCTTGTTCGTTTGCTTGGAAAGTGTCAGGAAATAGTCCGCGTGCTAGCAGTAATTTTTTTAATGTTGACCAGAAGAATTTTCTAATCACAGCAATATGTAACGAATTCGGAGTTTTATTGAAAGTTGAAGAACAGGCTCGATACCTTAGCCATTATGTTTTCACTTCTGATATTACTTTGCTAGATACGAATGGTGCAGCAAAATTTCAAAAACGAGATGTCCACTTGGTTAGACCAACAAGAAATGCCAGACACGACTGGGAATTCCGATTTTTGACAAACGAACAACTTCGCGAAACCAAAAATATAATGAATGTATGTAACGAACTCACATTAGCTTGCATATTTTTTATTTCTCGTGTAGACTTCAATGAAATTGTTAAATGTAAAAGCAATCCTTTCTCATCGCTGTCATTTCCTAGTTTACGGAAGGACATGCTTTCATTGCTTTTGGATGAAAAACATGCAGATGTAAAACTTAGAACAAATAACCATGTTATTTCAGCGCACCGGTCTCTTCTTATAGCTCGATCTCCGGTCTTCTATGCAATGTTCGATCAAGAAATGATCGAAACTAAAACAGGCATTATTGATATGCCAGATGTGGACCCAAAGATATTGAAGATATTCTTAGAATTCTTATATACAGGAACAATTGAAGAATTCGACTATGATGATGCCTTAAAATTACTTATTGTAGCAGACAAGTATCAAGTCTCTAGTCTGTGCGATTTGTGCTCAATATTTTTGGTGTCAGAGTTAACTGTGGAAAATGTATGCGAAGTTCTGTGCTTAGCAGATATGACTAATAACGAATCGTTGAAAACTTCAGCTATGGAATATCTAACCAATCATGCAGCTGAAGTAATGGGTTCAACAGATTGGAAAGGGTTGATGGAAAAGAACCAAAAATTGTCAGTGGAAATAATTTCCAGCATTGCTGCAAATTGTAGCATTGTTCCAAAAAACATCGGTAGAAAGTAAATTTTGAATACGTAATGCAATCACAAAATTAATTTTTCCTACAGGTCACGTAACTGACTGTAATTTTAACTATGGGTTGAGTCAGTGATTACTATTTTATAAGTGCAATTGATTACTATTTTACTAATGAGCTTTTGTTTATTATTTCATAAATGCAACTGATTACTTTTTTATTTTTGTAAGTTACTATTTTACAATGCATGAACATCAATGTAACAAAATTCCTAAGGAATATGTATTAAATATGAATTGTGCAACTAATTACCATAGTATTACTTGAAATAATTCAAATTATTAAATTCAGCCAACAAATATTAAATTACGTTTGACTTATTTTGTATCAAATTTATTTTAAAGAAATATGTCATAAATGGTTTCTGCTATAAATATGACTATACTGTTAAAGTCGGGTAGATCCTAGGATTTACCAGACTTATTGTTTTTAGCACAATTCTCACAGAAAGTTTAAATATTCAGCTGTGGATAATGAAGCCAACCACACATCTGTGGTAATGAATTTGGTGCAGATGCTATATCTTTTATAACCAACAATACACAAAATTAGATTCTTAACATATAAATGCAAATTTTTAAANTTAAGTTTTGAAAAAATGTAGGAAATATCCACTTACAGAAACATCCACATTGTTGACTTATACGATGCAAGGAATGATATTTAATATAAATGAACTGATTCCATGAAACTGTAATATTTTCAAACATATTTGCATTAATACTATTTTTAATTAAATTAATAGAATTATGAAAATTGTCAGTCATATATATTTATCTAAAAAGCTAATAGACAAACTTTTCTAAAATAGTATTAATGTACTTTACGAAAATAGTAAGTACTTTAAAACTTTCAATTATAAACAAATATTATCAAACAAATGTAAGAAAATTCTGTAGAGAAATACTTCATTTGTTCTGAAGGTGTAAATAGCTTTTTATCATTGTATATTGATACCATAACTCATTTTTCCCAATTTTTTTAAAATTATTTTCTTTAAATTTTTTTTATATAAATTCTAAAATCGGCTGATGCAAATACTTAAAGCAAAGAGATAAGGCAAGAACAATTTATAGGAGATAAAATATTATAAAATGCAGATAAATTCCTTTGTCAAGATCTGTGATGGGGAGTTCCCTTTTGATATTTTTGCTATCCGGATAAAGTTGAAAGACGGTAGATTAGAGAACAGTGTCAAATTCACGAGTTTCTAGTGCTTTAGTATATTTTTCATTGTCCCCATTTTTTTTAAAAATACTATTAAATAAAATCATGTCAAGTGAGGACGGCAGGAAATTTTCGTTTATTTGGAGCCTCGAAAATTTTTCTCACTCGTATCTTGAGAATGGACAAAAATTTATCAGTCCTGAATTTGTAGCTGAAAGTGCAGGAGGAAGCAAGTGGTGCGTCGAAATATATCCGAAGGGATTCGATCAAGAGAATGGCGAATTTATTTCGTGTTTCCTTAAAAGAAGTGGTGACGATTTGTTTCCTGAATTTTCGGAAGAGATCGCTGTTGATTTCACATTCCTTGTTGTTGGTGAAAATGGCGAGATTTTAGGATCTTTTGAAGAAAAAAATAAGATATTTAAAAAAGGAGATAGTTTTGGTTGCTTTAAGCTTGTCAAAATCGAAGATGTAGAAGATAAGATTAAAAGCTGGCAGGAAGATACTTTGACAATCCGTTGTTCGCTGATTTCTTATAAACAGATCGCAAGTGAATATGCAGCTAGGTTAACCATTCCTATTTATTCTAGTTCATTTGCATGGAAAGTGTCACCAAATAGTAGGCATGCTTCAACTAATTCTTTTAATCTTGGCCAGTTGAAAATTGAAATCAAAGCGATTTGTAACGATTCCGGTGTTTTATTAGGAATTCAGGAACACGCTCCAAACTCTGATCCTTATCTTCTTATTTCTGATATTACATTATTGGATTCGAATAGTTCAGCAAAATTTCAAAGACGAGACGTTCATTTAGTTTCACGAAGAAATGATACCAAAGACGAATGGGAATTCCTATTTCTAACAAAAGAACAATTTAACGAAACCAAAAACAGATGTAAAGAACTCGCATTAGTTTGCACATTTTTTATTTCACGTGTAGGCTTCAATGAAATTGTTAAATGCAAAAGCAATCCTGCCTCATCACTGTCATTCCCTAACTTACAGAAGGACATGCGTGCATTGCTTTTGGATGAAAAACATGCAGATGTAAAGCTTAGAACAAATAACCATGTTATTTCAGCGCACCGGACTCTTCTTATAGCCCGATCTCCCGTCTTCTCTGCAATGTTCGATCAAGAAATGATCGAAGAAAAAAAAGACATTATTGATATGCCTGATGTGGACCCAGAAATATTGAAGATATTTTTAGAATTCTTATATACAGGAACAATTGAAGAATTCGAGTATGATAAAGTCTTAAAATTACTTATTGTAGCAGACAAGTATCAAGTCTCTAGCCTGTGCGATTTATGCTCATTATTTTTGGTGTCACAGTTAACTGTGGAAAATGTATGTGAAGTTATGCGTTTAGCAGATATGATTAATAACGAATCGTTGAAAACTTCAGCTATGGAATATCTAACCAATCACGCAGCTGAAGTAATGGGTTCTTCTAAATGGAAGGGGTGGATGGAGAAGAATCAAAAATTATCAGCGGAAATAATTTCTGACATTGTTACAAATTTTAGTATTGTTCCAAAAAACATTGGTAGAAAGTAAATTTTGAATGCGTATTACAATCACAAATAAAAAATTTTTTTACAGGTCACGTAGCTTACTATAATTTTAACTATAGGTTGAGTCAGTGATTACTATTTTATAAGTGCAATTGATTACTATTTTACTAATGAGCTTTTGCTTATTATTTCATAAATTCAACTGATTACTTTTTATATTTATAATTTATTACTATTTTACTATGCATAAATATCGATGTAACAAAATTCGTAAGGCATATGTATTAAATATGAATTGTGCACTAATTACCATAGTATTACTTGAAATAATTCAAATTACTGATTTCAGCCAGCAAATATTAAATTATGCTTTACACTTATTTTGTATCAAATTTATTTTAAGGAAATATGTCATAAATGATTTCTGCTATAAATATGAGTATACTGTTAAAGTCGGGTAGACCTTAGGATTTACAGGTAAAACATAGGATTTACCAGGCTTATGGTTTTTAGCATACTTATCACAAAAAGTTGAAATATTCAGCTGTGGATAATGCAGCCAACCACACATCTGTGGTAATGAATTAGATAGGTGCAGATGCTACATCTTTTTTAACCAACAATACACAAAGATTTTTAGCATTTAAATATTCATATAAATGCAAATTTTAAAAAAAAACTGTAGAAAAAAATATTTAAACACTGTTAGAATTGAAATTTTTTAAATTATATATATATTATCTTAAATTTAGCAATTTCCAAGATAATATCACTTTGCTACATAATAATTTAAAAAGCTTTAGATTGTTTATTTTTCGATTATTATCTTACATTTAAAGAAATTGTATGTAAAATTAAAATAAATTGAAATAGTTGCTAATTTAAATTTAATTAAATAAATAAACAATATTGAATGAACTTTTCATAAATTTAAAGTGAAGCTAATTCAACATGTCTCGTAGCAAATTTGTATTACATGGAGAGTTACAAAAAATTTTTACAGGGAAAAACTATCGCAAATTATGTTGAAATTTCAATATCTGTTGCATAATGTGAGTGACGATTAAATTTAACAAAGAATGTAATGTCTTGGAGACTAACTTAAAATTTTATTCTTAAAAAATTAACTTAAACACTGTTTCTGCTTTGTTTTTACTCATGAGGTACAAAAAATGCAGAATGCTTTGAGATATTAATATCTTTTCTATTTCCTCTTATCATGCATTTATTAAAAATTATATTTTCGATGCAAAAAAAGAAAAATATTTATATATTTAACAAGTTTCTGATATATGATTCCCTAACCAAAATTTTTTTCATGCTAAGCTGACGCCAAAATTCAATCGCGATTTATTAAATTATGTTAAATTATTAATAGAATTAAATAATTAATAATATATTAAATTATGTAATTAATTTATTTTATTAATTATATTAAATTATTAGTTTAAGTAATCATATCAATTTATTAATTGACAATGCAATTGGTTTATTGATACTATTATATTAAATTATGTTATTGATCTTTGTTAGTAGCGATTTATTAATTTAAAATATTGCATATACACTGCAAAAAACGTGGGGTGATTTCTACCAGAATATGGTGTTCAGAAACTCTCTAAAAAATTGAAGATTATTTCCAGCTAAAACGGAATCTAGTGTTCTTCGCGTTAAAGATGTAGTTAAATATAAACTCCAATATCACTTCATTTATGAATTATTTTCGTCAATTTTGGTGTACGTTTGGATCTTGTTTACAATTCAAAACGGTAAAAGTTTGTTTTCGCCTCGCATGGCCCTGAACATTCCACAGAAGCAGTTATAAACTCTTGCAAACATCATGTTTTTAATATTTATATACTAAAGAAAAAAATGTTCTCATAAAATTTACATAAATCTGTCAATTATATGCTGGAATTTAAAAATATTTCATTTTTATCCGCTTTGGCTTTGTTAAGCCTAAATGGAATTGGAATTCATATTAATATTCTCTGTGTGCTGTGCATGTTCAACCCAGAAACTAATTTTTTAGAAGAAATATTGTATACCAGTCGAATATTCGTACTCGGAGAAAATAAAAATAAAAGATAATAATAATCAATGAATCAGTACTGAAGAACAGCACTGCGAAATTATGAACAAAACCGAAAGGCATATAGCGACACAATTTATAAAGCATAAGTAATTCCAATTGTTTATTTATTATTCGTTGTCTTTACCGCTGACTTTATGGTATAAGATTAAGCGAATTATGTTTTCTGTAATTCATCCCATTGAATGGATTTACTGTATTTAGTATCATT